GTCTCAGGCACTGAGCCTGGAGGATGGGAGTATGACTGATGGACACAGAGATATTTAAATAGAGAACTAAACAACAAAGACGGGTCAGCCATCCAACCAACAGGAGGAATAACCTTCTAGGAGGAACTACTGAGGCCCTAATACTCAGCTTGCATGAGGAAAAGTGTGGGAGGCGAGTCATGGCCCCCAAAGATGTCCATGTCCTAATCCCTGGGACCTGTGGATAGGGACACTTACATGGCAAAGGAAACTCTGCATCAAAAAACCCCCACTGCCCTCGAGTCCATTCTGACAGCACCCCTAGAGGACAGAGTGGAACTGCGCCACAGGGGTTGCAAGGCTGTCAATCTTTGTGGAAGCAGGCTGCCTCATCTCTCTCCTGCAGAGCAGCTGGTGGGTTAGAGCCACCAACATTTTGGTTAGCAGGAGAGCGCTTTAACCACTGCACCACCAGGAATTCTTTCAGAAACTCTGCAGATGGGATTAATTAAGGATCTTGAGATGGAGAGTTGACCCTGCAGGATCAAGGCAGGCCTAGTGTCATCACAAGGGTCTTTGATAAGAGAGAAGGAGGCAGGAGGTTCAGAGAAGAAGAGGTGATGATGGGGGCGGGGGAGAGAGAGATGAGAAGAAGATTAGAGAAGACTGTTAGGGAAAATAGGAGTTCTGGTGGTGCAGTGGGGAAGTCATTGGCTGCTAATCAGAAGGTCAGCTGTTCAAACCCTCCAGCTGCTCCGTGGGAAGATGAGGCAGTCTACTTCCATAAAGAATTACAGCCTTGGAAACCCACTGGACGTCGCCATAAGTCAGAATCAACTCGATGGCAGTGAGTGGGTCAGGGAAAATAAGAAAAGATGTGAAAATTAGAAGGTTCATACAAGAGGCCCAATAGCTGGATAAGAGGTGTTCCAGAATGAAACAAGAAAGAAGGAAAGAGAGTGGGAAAACGATCCAAGAAGTAATTCAAGCAAAGCCCCAAATTCCCAGAACTGCAGCAGAGAGGCACCCCTGAAAAAGCCCACCGAATGCCCTTTCTGCTCTGACACACATGGTCATCATGCGTCGGGGTCAACTCCAGGGAGACTATTGTCGTTAGGTGCCATCAAGTCGTTTCCGACTCATAGCGACCCCATGCACAGCAGAACGAATCACCACCTGGTCCCGTGCCAGCTCCGGGATCTTTGCTATACTTGAGCTCATCGCCGCAGCCACTGTGTCAATCCATCTTGTT